AGACCATTCGATCCAGGGTTCAGTTCCTCAAGATCTCGGCTTTAAATTTGGTCTTTTGTGTGTCGGTGATTATACAAAATATTTCTTTGAGGTTCTTGGCAGTTAGTTTCAATCATACTGTTGGGGCTACGAAGCTATTTTTCAAGACAACTTTCGCTTACTTGATGACATTGAAGAGAGAGACTCGGCTTATGTATATTACTCTTATTCTCATTGTTACTGGGGTTATCATTTCCAATCAGGGTGAACTCAGTTTTCATCCATTTGGTTTTATCATGTGGGTTTCATCTACAGCAGTAAAAATTCCATGAATCTCCTTCTGTACATGGCTCCTATAGCTGATGTGTTTCTACTTCCTACAACACTCATTATAGAAGAAAACATGATCGGTATCACACTTACCCTTGTTTGAGATTATATCAAGATCGGTTGGTATCTTTTATTAAATTCGACACTAGCATATTTTGTGAATTTGACCAACTTTTTGGTCATGAAACACACCAGCATCCCATTTGTATTTCCACTGAGTTTTGTTCTCAAGTGGTCTTATGACATCATACAAAAGCTTTGAACACTATGCAAGGAGCTTCAATGATTGAAAAATCTGGGCAGAAGCCATAAGAAAGGATGAATGTGTTATCAAATGTTTTACGAACATCTGAGCAGAAGCCACATGAAAGAATGAATGTGTTGTCAAATGTTTTACGAACCAGTTATTCTGGTGTTGAACCAATGTTACGATCATATGGTTTTAATTTTTAGACCCAAGATGAAGTTTTCTTCAACCCCAAGGTTTGAAGTGATATATAATGAAGATTTCTTTCCACAGAAGGGAGTTGAAATTTTAACAACGAGAAACTAGTGGAGCCACTAAGATTGAACAACGAGAAACTAGTGGAGCCAACTAAGATTGAACAATATTCGTTGTTTGGGTATATCTACATCTACATTCTTTAAAGATGATAGATTCTCTTTTCAAAGATGAAAGCTTTATTGGATTTCTACACAAGTCCAAGCAAAGAAAGCTGGTGTTATCAAAGACAAAAATGGGGACATCAAGGTCATAATTCTGATTACAACCAGAGTTCCATAAATGAAACATTTCTTTTAACAAAAAAGACACAAAGATGCAAATGGATCAGATGGTTCATAAAAAATGCCAGCTCGAAATGACATTTGGACTAAGTGAAGGAAGACCGAGTTCGCCACTTTGAAGTCAAATGAAGATTGCATCAACATTTTTGCATTTATATGAACATCATTTGCACAATAAAAATGCATTACATTGATACATTTGATTGCATTCAAACATGAGGCTTTTACAGATATTCAAAGAAGATTCATGATGAAAGGGATTATGAGATTCAAATCAACAAACATTGAGAGTAAGCCTTACAGTTTAGAATGTTGGGGCATTTTGAAGGCCCAATTCAGACAGATCCATGTGGGACATCTCAAAGGCCATTTAAACCAGAAACAAATGTTGGGGCATTTTAAAAGCCACTTCAGACAGACCCATATGGGGGAATTTTGAAGGCATATCAGTATGAAAAAATGTTGGGGAATTTGAAAGCTCACATCACAAGAAGCAAATGTTGAGGAATGCTGAAAGCCCATTTCAATCAGAAATATGAATATTAAACACATTTTGAATGTTTGTATCAGCAAATGTTGGGGCACGCTGAAAGGCCCATTTCATCAGAAATAGAAATGTGATTTGTTTTGAACGTTTGTATTAGCAAATGTTGGGGGTATGCTGAAAGCCCATTTTAATCAGAATCAGGAATGTTGGCTCATTTTGAACGTCTGTATTAGCAATGTTGGGGCATGCTGAAGGCTTATATCATATTATGGAAAAATCATTGCTTTGAGCAAATATTTCCAGTAAGACAGAAAGGAATGAAAAATGAAATGGTGAAATATGACAGTAGAGCTGACTATACAAATGCTTCGTTCTTTAGGCAGTTATATTAGGGTCCTGGTGTTGAACAAATATTACTCAAGTATGGTTTCAAATACCAATCTTCTTAGCCATGTGTCATATGACAGTGTGTTCTTTGTTAAGCTACATCACGACTGAATGGATAAAGATAGTCCCCATGCAGACCATTCGATCCAAGGTTCAGTTCCTCAAGATCTCGGCTTTAAATTTGGTCTTTTGTGTGTCGGTGATTATACAAAATATTTCTTTGAGGTTCTTGGCAGTTAGTTTCAATCATACTGTTGGGGCTACGAAGCTATTTTTCAAGACAGCTTTCGCTTACTTGATGACATTGAAGAGAGAGACTCGGTTATGTATACTCTTATTCTCATTGTTACTGGGGTTATCATTTCCAATCAGGGTGAACTCAGTTTCATCCATTTGGTTTTATCATGTGGGTTTCATTATAGCAGTAAAAATTCCATGAATCTCCTTCTGTACATGGCTCCTATAGCTGATGTGTTTCTACTTCCTACAACACTCATTATAGAAGAAAACATGATCGGTATCACACTTACCCTTGTTTGAGATTATATCAAGATCGGTTGGTATCTTTTATTAAATTCGACACTAGCATATTTTGTGAATTTGACCAACTTTTTGGTCATGAAACACACCAGCATCCCATTTGTATTTCCACTGAGTTTTGTTCTCAAGTGGTCTTATGACATCATACAAAAGCTTTGAACACTATGTAAGGAGCTTCAATGATTGAAAAATTTGGGCAGAAGGCATAAGAAAGGATGAATGTGTTATCAAATGTTTTACGAACATCTGAGCAGAAGCCACAGGAAAGAATGAATGTGTTGTCAAATGTTTTACGAACCAGTTATTCTGGTGTTGAACCAATGTTACGATCATATGGTTTCAATTTTTAGACCCAAGATGAAGTTTTCTTCAACCCCAAGGTTTGAAGTGATATATAATGAAGATTTCTTTCCACAGAAGGGAGTTGAAATTTTAACAACGAGAAACTAGTGGAGCCAACTAAGATTGAACAATATATCGAATTGTAAAACAAAGAGAGAGAAAAGGTCTACTCTGACCTTTAGAGTTTCCTCAAGCTTCCAGCCACCGATTCAACTGCCACCACTCGGTCACCGATACTGCTGCCACGATGCCTCCGACGAAGCCTCCAGAAGGTCTACTCTGACCGTTCACATTACTGCTATATGGTGAGTCACCAGATAGTTCGGTGACTCACCGAAATTTACCCATAAGACTGGTCCAAGAGAAGCACCGTGGTGGCCTATAAATATGGCCACCGAACCTGCAAAAGAGAGGGGACCAACGGCAGAAAACGAAGCAAGAACGAGAACATACAACAAATATACGAACAAAAACAAAGCTACCAACAATCCCAGTCAGCTACAAATCGAAAGAGAAAGAGAAGGAACTTACCCTCGGAGAGTCCAAACGTCGCTAGAGATCCACACATCGAATGTAAAAAAATAGATCTAGGAAAATCTAAGGATTTGAATAGGGAAAGCCGAGCGTTAATTTGGGGGTAATATTGTAATTTTCGGCCACCATTTACGGTGGCCGGCGACGGCGAATAGCGCCAGAGCGAGGCGGTCAACGGTGGCCGGACTCCCGCTGTTGAAAGAAATTTAGAGAGAAAATAGAGAATTCTCTCCTTAGAGAGGAACCAGAATTAAGAAATGAAGAAAATCGACCAAAATGGCCGGTTAAATGGGTATTTATACCCCACTCCAAATGACGTCGTTTTGGGGAGGGGTGCCTGTGTAAGTGGAAAAATCATTTTCGCAGTCCCTTCAAGTCTGTAACTTTATGAGTTAGTCACTAAAATCAATTTATGATAATTTGAATTCGGTCTTCCAATTTTATTTATTTATAATTTAGTCATTAACCTTATTTATATAATATTTAGGGTAAATACTCATTTTAGTCCCCTATAATTTTAATAATTGATATTTTAGTCCATATTATTAATTAGGGTAAACTACACTTTTAATCACAATCTCTCATAATATTTTGAATTAGAGCAGTAAGTTTTGATATTTTACATTTTAGTCACTGATATTTGAATTCTTTTCATTTTTGGCTATAAGTTTTATTGCTTTTTAATTTAATCTTATATTTTTAATTTCTTTCAATTTGGTCATTGTTTAATTGCAATTTTTTATTATTACCATATATGTTTCAATATTTTAAATATGGTATTTAATTATTTTTTATTTCATATAAATATATTTAATTAAATAATAATATTTATTTTTTAATATTAAGAAATGGGCTGTCTTAAAGTAACTATATGTCCTTTTCTGATATTTTAAATAAATAAAATATTATATTTAATTTATTTTCATATTTTTTAATATTTATTTATTTTTAATATTAAAGAAAGGGGTTGTCTTAAAGTAACTAGATGTCATTTTCTAATATTTTTAAATAAATAAATACTATATTTATAAAACCATAAAAATATATATATTTTAATATATTTTTCCTTAAAATTATTCAATTGAATATGAAATAAGAGGATCATAAATTAAATTTATATTAGAATTCTTAAATTCTATTATTTGAGACAATTTATAATCGACCGAGACCAATTTTGAGCGTTGTGGGGGTGTTAATCCTTCCACAAACGTAACCGACCACGAATTCTTTTTTATTACTAAAAAGAATAAATTTTTGGTTATACGCATACGAGTTTATCATTTAAATAGTTTTTTCTTAAAAACTCTTTTAAAATATGATTTTTAGGTACTCGACCTATTTTACCCAAAAAGTCGATGGCGACTCTAAAACATTTCATTAAAAATCATTTAATTATTTACTTTACTTTTTCCGTCAAGGAAATTTCGTGTCCGGGCAAAAACCGGTTACGACACGGTTGTTTCCATGCTCGTTAGATCGATCTTTACTGTTCTGGGAAAATGAACCCAGTTTTTGGATTTGGGTATTCATCTTTACCTCTTTACCTCGAAGCCTCTCGGCTTCTGCAACAGTCCATCCATTGGGGAGTTGTTCAAAGCAAGAAGAAAAGAAAGCTATGGAAGTCAAGTTTTTCGAGTCGAACATGAGGCGTCTTAAGCCTCCACCGAGTACATTAGGTGCCGCAACTTTACCATTACACTACGCGAATTTGATAATCATAATGGAGAAGATGATCAAGTCGCCACAATCCGTCAGCGTCGATGCCCGAGACGATCTTTATTCCATGCTTCCAAGCAGTCTCAGATCATCTCTAAGGGGAAGACTAAAAGGAGTTGAGTTGTCGGCGAGTGATCCAGTGCTCACCGGAGAATGGAGAACAGCTTTGAGAAGCATCTTGGATTGGCTATCGCCATTGGCACACAACATGATCAAATGGCAAAATGAAAGGAGCTTCGAGCACCAGAATTTGTTGCCTAAAACGAATGTTCTTCTCTTGCAAACTCTCTTCTTTGCAAACAAAGAAAACACTGAAGTTGACATTACTGAGCTGCTAGTGGATTTGAATTACATTTGGAGATTCGAAAGGGAAATGACAGCAAAGGTCTTATTCGATTGCAGCAACTTTAATTAGGAAACAATTGAACTTAATCTTTTAATTACTTCAGTTTCGAGATTCAATTTTGTTTTCTCCAATTTTAATATGATCATTGATCAGTTTTTGTGTTCAAGATTGAACTGGTTTTCAGATCTTTATAGGTTTTGTTTTTCAATTCTAACCCTTTATTTGTATATGCTATAATATCTCTTTTTGTAAATGAAATCAAACGAGTAGAAATGGATCTCAGAATATTGCAGACTTTCAGGCAAATTCATGGCAATTATATTAAATAGGGTAAATTATATGTTTAGTATTCCAACTATCACTTTTGTTCCGTTTTAATCACCCAATTATTTTTTTGTTTTAAAATTATACATAATGTTAGTTTTGGTCACCCACTCTTAAAAAACTAACATAATTATTGATGTGATATTTTTTATTTTATTTTTTAATGATGACGTGACATTATCGTATGATAACACATTAGCATCACAGTGTTAACTTTTTAACAGTATGTGGCAAAAATTAGACTAAAACTAAATGTTAGGTATGATTTTGAAACAAAAAATATTTGAGTGACCAAAATGGAACAAAAATAATAATTAGGATACTAAACATGTAGTTTACCCTATTATATATATACATGTGAAAATATTCCTCTTATTTTTTGCTTTGCTATTGTTTTTTTTATTAAAACCACCCTGTTCTGGATCAAGTTTCATTAGCTTTTGGAGTAGTTTAACTATTTGATTATTTAATTAAATTGACAAATTTTGTTTTATTAAAATTTTATTTAATTTTTTTATTCTAAATAAGTTTAAAAAATTTAAGTCAAATTATATGGTTTATATTTATTTTAATTAAAATAAAAAATAAATAGATCAAAATAAAACTTTATTAAAAATCTAAATAAATTTTAAATTAAGAAACATAAATTAATATACATATTTAATTTTTTGGGTTTAATAACCGATATTCAATTTATTAATCGACTAATTCAGATCAGGTATTGCAGAGGCGAGCACAACCCTTCCAACTCAATTTGCTCCATACGCAAACGTCAAGATTCGAACCCCTAACCTTGCTTAAAAATCTAAAATGTCATCCCACTTATTTATTTAATATTTAAACCTAATAAAACACCAACTAATTCAATTATTAATTATATAACTAAATTTTGTTTAATAACATTTTAGAATTTAATAGGAATTATAAATTTTTTATAATTTGAGTTATAAATGGTTACTAAATTTTTGGTGAATCTACATTTTGATTATGGAAAATTTAAAACTTGCAATACAATCGTTAAAATTGTAATATGTTGTTATTATGGTCAATATTATGATATACTACTAACAAATGCTTAAATGCACCATTACTCCCTAAATTATGCACTTTGAACTAAGTTGCCCCCTAAAGTGTTTTTCGGGATGCTTTATCCCATGAAATTTAAATCGTTATTTCATTTGTCCAAATTGTCGACACCGTTTTTCGCCTGGGTGGGGTAAACCTCATACTGACTTGGGGGTTTTTCTTTGAAAATGTTTGGAAATGTGAGGAGTCACCACCAATCATTTTAAAGTGCGATTCGGACACCATAAAAATTAGGTGATTTTAATAAAACATTTTATTTTTATCAAAATACCAAGTTTTGGGGTCTGTAAAAATCCATAAATAAGGTTCGGGAGTCGGTTACGTGTGGGGAAGGATTAGCACCCCCACAAGCGCCCAAAAATTGGTTCCTAGTTGATTACCCTATATTTAGAATCGAAAATTTGAGTTCAAACTTTATTTAATTTAAAAATTATAACGGATGCAGAGTTGAAAATGATATTTGTTTATTAATGCCAATAACATTCGTCCCCTAGCATAAATGCGGGAGATCAGCTATTGTGCCTAATAACCGAACGTTGTCTTAATTTTAAAAATCATGATGTGGTCTTGAAAATGATGTCGACCTATTTCGAGAATTACCAGTAGTCACCCCCTGAGCATACTTGCGGGAGATATACTATCGAATCCCTAATAAGTGAACATTGCCTTAAATTTTAAAATAAAATGCAATAAAATAAATCTTTATTAATCCTAATTAAACTAAAGGTAGATTAAGGCTTTTCCAATCCTAAAGTGTCAAATTATGAAAATTAGAGAACCTAGAGGCACAAACCCAGAAATATAGGTTCTAATATTAATCATATTTGTTTTTAATCAATTATTGAATCGAATAATCAAGATGTTCCCTTGAGAATTCAGGCGAGGGACAACTCGAATTATTCCCTAAATTAAAAGACTAGTTTGAAATATAATCTAAAATGGAGGCTCTAATATTAATTTAAATTAATTTTACGATTCGAATGATTAAATTGGAACCTTGAGCAAAAGCGAGGACCAAATTAAGAATTCACCTAATTTAAGGACTAAATGTGAAATAAAAAATCTAGATTAGGACTAAAACATTGGAAACCTAAATCAAAAGGTTTAACTTAAAACCTAAAATTTTAAGACTAGATTAAATAAATAGAAATTAAAGACGAAAAATAAAACAAAAAACAATTAACACATATAAAAGGACCAAATTGAAACAATTTAAAATGTAGAACTAAAATTTAAACATTAAATAAAGGACTAAATGAAAGAAATAAGAATATAGAACTAAAATTAAAACAGTGCAGAAAAATTAAAAGTTGGAATTTAAAGGACTGAAATGTAAGTGATGAAAAGTAGAGGCACAAAAATAAAAAAAGATAAAAAATTAAAGTAATGGAATTAAAGAACTGCAATTAAATAAATAAAAAGTAAAGGGCATAAATTTAAATGTGCATAAAATTAAATAACAAAAATAAAAGAGCAATAAAAATAAAATGTTAGTGTTAATTTTTAATATTTAACTCGGACCGTAAATAATGCGAGTCGTACTCCGGGGCTGGTCGTCGCAAGGTCGTACTATGGTTCAAACATAAAATAAAATATATAATAAAATAAAAAAATTAGTTGTTAGTAATTAGCTATTAGAAAAGTTAGCGGTTAGTTTTAGAAATGTTAGCAGAGACTGAATTGTAATAATTTGGATCATACCCCGTAACGGGTCACCATAAGGTCGTATAATAATTCAAACATAAAATAAAATACATAAATAAAAAGTTAGCGGTTAGATGTTAACAGATTCTGGACCATAATAATGTGGATCATATCCCGGATCGGGTCACTACAAGGTCATATAATAATTCAATCAAATTAATAAGAAATAACCGTTAGGAGTTAATAGAGTATGAACCATAATAATGTGGATCATACCCTGAATCGGGTCACCACAAGGTCGTCTAATGATTCAAAAATTAATAAAATAAATAAATAAAAATAATACACCATATTCGAAACAAGTAAATAATAATAGGATCTGTGACCATAGTGCAACAAATAATAAAACAACAAATAAATTATAACAAATAAAATAGCAAAATAGTGACCAAATCGAAATAAAATAAAATAAAGGGGTCAAAATCATAACAAATAAAAACACAAAAATGTTGTGACTAAGATGCAAATACACGACAGAAGTGGAAGGACTTGAGTGTTATTTTACCCTAAAACAGATGGCCAGAAGGGGCCTAGGCCTGATTTACCCTTTTTCTTAAAACCAAAATATTTCCCCTATTTTCACGTAGACTACCGAGAAGCTTACCAAGCTTCAACAACACATTTGACCACCGCTCATCAGCCATCACATTCTGGCCACCGGGATGGTGACCACCCTACTCCAATCGGTGACACCGACTACGACCAAAGGCAGCCCGACCGAAGGCTTAAAGGCTGAAAATTTTCCCCCTACGTGTGGTTTGGCCGAGTAGCTCCCAAAGCTTCCAAACTCATCGTCGACCGCCGTTCGACGCCACACATGGGTGGCTACTAACCTCGTCCACCACTTATGGTGGTCAATAGTCCTCAAAACAACAAAAAATCGATCACAATGCCCTCTCATTTAAAAGCCTAAACCGAAACCTATAAAACTTTCAACCCCAACGTAAGGCCGAATGACCATTGACCATGGCCCTCTTTCCGGTGAAGGCCGATCCTACTCAGGTAGACCATTCTCCTATCTTTCCTCTTATTTTCTCAAAAATAAAGCCCCCTCATGCATCACGTTTTTCTGCAAAGCAAGAAGAAAGAAAGAAAGAAAGTGAAGCAAAACTCTTACCTTCATTTTTCCAGTTTTTTCGGGGGAAAATAGGGAAAAGGGATTGTACAAGGTGGTTGGTTGGGGTATTTATAACCCCAACTGCTACAAATTTTTATCTTTTTTTTAATAATAATGATAATAAAAAAGGAATAAAAATGGTGATTACACAAATCATTAACTATGTTAAAAATAACAAGAGTAAACTACATATTCAGTCACTCAACTGTTCTCGTGGTTCTGTTTTGGACACCCAACTACGAAAGGTTATTCTATGAAAAATATGGATATGCACTTCCTCCCCAAGATCATAACATGTACTACAAGGGGCTATCCCAGATATGGTAATTATCAGTTGTCAAGGGCTTACCCACAACCATAACTAAAGAATGACAAGCATTATGTATTTCATTTTCTTTTAGTTTAACCACTTATGTCTGATCTATTGATCCAAGGAATTTTAGATGCCAATATCAGTTGAATAGTAGGAATGTTATATGTTATCGCCAAGGGCATCTAGGTGAAAAGAATTATAGATATGAATAATGTATGTTTGAGTGTATAAAGATGAGTAATTCTGAATTATAGTGTAATCACCATTTTTCAACTCTTATATATTATTATTATTAATAATATTATTATAAAATATTATTATTTATTTATTATTACAAAATACCCAAACCCAAACCCTTTACCCAATATTCAAATCTATTACCCAAACACTTCAGCCTAATTACAAGCCCATACTCAGACCCAAACCCTAACCTAACCTAACCCAACCCAACCCTAACCCTAACACATCCTTATAAGCTACCGTCCCACCAAAAATGAAAATCCAGCCACCGATCGAGTTTATCCC